CCTTAAATTCTATGATTCTACGATCCTCTCTGCGTCAAGTCAAGGGGAAAACCCAAAGGGAGATCTGCAGTAGTGCAATCAAGCAGCACCCCAGTCACAGACTTGGGTAAAACCAGACTGAAAGCCAAGCCACCCGTTGGAGAGGCACCACTGGGGCCCCCACGGAAGCATCACCTCTGCAGCCACAGCTGGAGCCTCCTAAAGCAGGAACCAAGGGCAGGGAAAACAGCTTTAGTGTCTGTGTTGATAAACACAAGGTCCTGATACTTCCAGGCCAGGCAGGGCAGGGAATCTGCAGGCAGTGCCTGCTCCTGCTGCCAAGCTGGGAGCTCAGGCTGCTCCAGGAAGGCATCCCTGAGCAACCAAGGGACTTGGTGGTTATCACTGTTTACCTTTCAGCATGACATGTGACCCATCTGGAAATTTCCACTAGGCTCCACTGCTCGGGCATGACCTCAGAGGTTCCTTAGTTATTGCTGCCTCTGCATCTCTTCTGCCCATGCAAACATGAGCTCACCCTAGAAAAGGATAAAACAATTCAAAAAGCCTCAAGGCACCTTTCCCCTCTCTTCCCTCTTTCCCCTCTGCCTCACACATGCCTTTCTTCTCCCCACGAATGGTCTGAAATGTCTGTTTCCTTGCAGCAAGTTGAGTGCAATCTACAGGTGCCAGCCAGGTCGGCTCTGGATCTCCTTCAGCCTCCTCATCATCCTCCTGGTCACACTTCAAGTAGTGGAGAAGCTGCAGCCTTCCAGGTAGTTCCCAAGCAGGATTATAAACCTGTATCTTATCCTCCTTGCACTGATCACTGAGGTAGGCTCAAAACTGCCCTCCTGAAAACCACCCAACAGAGTCTTCCTTAGACAGGGAGGAAAATACAGGTGGGAGAGGATCCTCTGGGGCTCCCACATCCCATCCCTACACACTAGCCAGAGCTTAACCCACTCTGGGGTCAGACCAGGCTGCCCTGGGCTTTGTCCTGGCTCACCACAAAACCCTACAGCCCTTGAGTACAGTCCTCCCAGTCTGGGGTTATCTGCAGTCAGCTTCCCCAGGCCACCTGCTCTTCTCCACCCTTGCTTTGCCCCTTCCACCAGCCCATTGTGCTGCAACAAGACAGAGGCATTGGCACAGGCTGCTGACCTATCCTTCTTCATGGAATCATAGGATGGAAAAGACCTCCAAGGTCACCAAGCCCAAGTTCTTGCGCCCACCTTGTACCCCCAGGGCAGCAGTGAATCCCTACCCCCACCAGCAATGCCACCTACCCCAAGAAAGACAGGGGTATGCAGTTTGGGGTGTCTGCAGGGAGGTTCAGGGGATTTATTTGGCTGCAGAGGAGCTGCTCTCCCTGTCCACTCCTTCCATGCTCTGCAGCTGAGCATCTTGTCCTCCCCCCTGCAGGAGCTGCCCCAGTGAGCTGGAACCTGCCCTGCAGCCAACCACGGACCATGGCCAGGAGCAGCTTGGCTATGCCCTCCAGGCCCCCTCCCTGCTGTGGGAGGATAACTCCCCGCAGTGGCAGAGGGAAGCCCTGCCAGAGCCCACCTCAACTGAGGCTGTTTTCCAGACACCCCTATCCTCCGGCCGCAAGACGCCGCCGGAAAGCAGCCAGGGCAGCCAAGGGGGGCACTGGACACAGCAGCCTGAGCAGAGCAGGAAGAAGGTGAATGCCCAACTTTCATCCACAAAGCTGAAACCACAGCCTCCTGGCCTGGGAAGCACAGCCAGGGAAAGTCCTTCTCCAAGCCTTCCCAAGAAGATTGCTACAGTTTTGGCAGAAGTTGTCACCAGCAAGTTAATCACCTTTGCAAACAGGCTGAGCATGGAGGAGCACAGAAGAACATCGCCAGGACTTCCTCAGGTGGTGGCACAGAGCCAGTCTCAGCCTCAAGCCATGGGTTCTCCCCACCATCAGTGGGACAGCTCACGTACACACCCCATCCCCACCTCGGCTCAAGCTCCGCAGGCAGAGGCCTCTAACAACACAGACCTGGGGACAGGGTTTTCCCCTAGCTGGACAGAAGCCCCTAACATCACAGAGATGACAACAGGAGAAGGTCAGCAGGTCAGAGGGATCACCTCTCAAGGGAAGAGCTGCAAGCCTAAAACTGATATTGTTTTCCTGAAGGTCCACAAGAGTGCCAGCAGCACCGTCATGAACATCCTCTTCCGCTTTGGTGAAACGCACAACCTCACCTTTGCCTTCCCTACAGGTGGTGGCAATCAGCTCTACTACCCACACCACTTCTTGGCGAGGTTCGTGCAGGGCTACTCGCCCAAGAGCCCACAACGCTTCAACATCCTCTGCCACCACATGAGATTTCTGCAGCCAGAGGTACGGGGAAGCTAGGGAGGACCAGACAGGGGAGGGAGAGGGGCTCACAGGGAGCAAGGTAGGGCACCTGTGGAGCACATAAACTCTTCAGGGATGACCTAAAGAGGGTCAGAATTTCCCCCAGGTACTTTGCATTTTGTAGGCATCTCCTGAGAGCTTCTGTGAGCAGGTTTGATGAAACCCTGTGCTGTGACAAGATGGGAGGCAGCATCTGTAGCAATCAGCAACTACCATCTTGTTTTGCCTGGTGAGCCCTTGGAGATGTCCTGCTCCCTGGACAGGTCCAGAGAACACCAGCTGCAAGAGAAGAACACCTTAAGTGCATCCACTCCTCTGGATACCACTTGACACACAGATCTGGGGCAAGACAGGATGTATCTCCATCCTGCACATGCCACCCAACTGTGGCAGCACATAGTGGGGAGTTTTGGCCACTGCTGCCCCCAGGTGGCTCTTCTGGGGCTCCCCACAGCATCTTGATGAGCTGCACCCCAAAACCCTCCCCAGCACTCACCATCTCTAACTCCAGTGAGTGCTTTGACTTTCAGTAGGCCACAGAGGGCAAGCAGATCCCTTCTCCGTACCCACCTTTAAACCCTCCTTTTTTTGTCCTCCACAGGTGCAGAAAGTGGTGTCCAGCTCTGCCTTCTACTTCTCCATCCTGAGGAACCCTGTGCAGCTCATGGAGTCCTCCTTCGTGTACTACAAGGGAGCATCAGCTTTCTCCCATGTCCGCAGCCTGGAGGAGTTCCTCAGACAGCCCTACCACTATTACAACTCCACCCGCGGCGACAGCCACTACGCCAAGAACCTCATGACCTTTGATTTTGGCTTCAACCCCAATGGAGAGGCATCCCCTGAGCGGGTGCAGCTCATGCTGAAGGCCATCGAGGCGTCCTTCGACTTGCTCCTCATCTCTGAGTACTTTGACGAGTCCATGGTGCTGCTGAAGGAGGCACTGTGCTGGGACCTGGACAGCGTCGTCTCCTTCCCACTCAACATCAGGGACAACAGCACCAAGTCCCCCCTCCCAGACACCATCGTGGAGAAGATAAAGGATTGGAACAGGCTAGACTGGGAGATCTACACCCC